ACTTCGAACAGAGCGCCGTGATCCCCAATACCCAACCTTTAAACTTTTTGGTTTCTTACAGTTTAGTAGGAATCGGAAAGTTTAACCTTTGATTGCTGTGGCTTATTGGGGGAGTAAGACAAAGACGGCCACCTCACAACCCTCGGACTGACATCCCAAACGCATGAAGCTGAAGTGCCAAGCACAGAAGCCTATGAATGGAATCCGTTAATGTAGGAACCTGTTTAAGAAACCTTGGGCCTTTGTTAGGGTTTCTTATATGAATCCTACTATTTTGAGGTTCTAGGCCCAGGGTTTCTTAATCAGGTTCCTACATTATCTTGACCCCAAACCCGCTTAAGCTAAAGCCCCAATCCGGAATGCCACATCCGCCAGCCTGAGATAATTACTCAGCACAAATCTCCAAGCCCCAAGGCTTGCTACGTAGCTGAGTGGATACACTTTACACTTTTTTGGGATAGCATGACCCGCTCTAAAACCAAAAAGGTGCACACTTTGGGGGGGGGCTTATGATCTCAGCAACTAACCTGGCGAGAGTACTTACTTGAAGTCGGATAGACAGAGTGAGCGACAAACCATTGGGTCATTGGACTCACCAAGCTCGTCGGACCTTAAGCGCAATATCCTACGGCTGCCGGAAAAACTTGAACTGCCCGATAGACCAGTATAGATAAATGATCGCAAACTATGGGAGTCTTGGTACATCCCTTGTTGTGGGTAACACGAAATATGTTTTAAATTCTCTTGTTTTTTCGCGAAGCACGAAGGTCTACATGCCCTTTGGGTGTCAATGATTAGACTATGTTTTACTTAAACTGCAAGTGTTCCTTTAGGTCTTCGATATGGGTTACTGCCAGGGCTTCACTAATATGGATGCCGTATTAAGCCCTGAAGCTTTGAACAGACTACATCGCACGGCACACGGACTCATGCACACCTGAACACTTCTGACAGTTATAGCATCTCTCAGACTTGCAGGCCATGAACATAAGCCTAGTAGTAGAGTAGGCAACCTTAAACCTTTTTTGGGTAGTATAGTCCCTATATAATCCCAGGAAGGCTAACCTTGAGTTTCCCATGATACCCTAGACCATAAACCCCTAAACCCTAAACCCATAAACCCCTAAACCCTAAACCCCTAAACCCTAAACTCTAAACCCTTATACCCCTAAAGCCTAAACCCTAAACCCCTAAACCCCTAAACCCCTAAACCCTAAAGCCCTAAACCCCTAAACCACCCGACAAGTAGGATACCCGTTAAAGCCCAACCCGCGGCCCGACCATGCGCTGGAGTTGAGAGGCTAAAGCCACACATGAGAGTTTCCGAAACTGAGGGGCAGCTTTAAAGGGATCTATAAGGGTTCCTTTAAGGGCTCCTATAAGGGATCTATAGGGTTTAGGGTTTGGGAGTTTCCGAAAATTAGGGGCACCTTACTTTGGGGTCCTTATATTCAGCATCCTTCTATTTAGGGTCCATCTTAGGGTCCCCTGTTGCCGGAAACTCCCACATCAGACTCACCGAGACCTTGAAATCCTGCACCACGAACCCTAGAATTTGAAATCCTACACCCCGAACCCTAGACCCAGGCACCTTCGAATCGTAAAGCCTAAAGCGAGGCACCCTAGATTTATGATTTTACAGGAACCCACGCTTGGAAAGCGCGTAGTACCTGCAGAAAGCGTCGGACCTCGTCGTCAAACCCTTGTACAATCCTAAGATCCCCTTTAAGCTTGCAGATCTCTTGCAAGTCCCTGAACAAAGCTTCTACAGAACCCGTAAACCGAATCTTGAACCCGAAAACCCTGTACACCCCGTTAAACCCCGAAGCTCGAAGCCCAAAGACCCCAAAGCCAGCCCTGAACCTTATAAACCCTAAAACACTAAACCCTAAACCCCAAACACCCCAAACACCCCAAAGCAAACCCTAAAACACTAGACCCCAAACCTGAAACCCCTAAACAGCCCAGATAAAGAAAGCACCGCCAGGCCGGCCTGAAGAAAGCTCAGAGGAAGGAGCAACTCGGTGCTGGAATATTAGATAGTCTTACTCTAAGAGTCCATGTGCCCATACAGTATGTACTTAGGCCTTTAAGGGGTCCCTATATAGGTACTTTAAGGCCTAAGTGCCTACTATAGTTGTCTCTCTTAGCAATTACTGCCTGTTGATGATATAACTCCTGCATTACCTTCGTTCCTCATTATTAGTACTAGCAATAGTAAGGGGAACAAGGGGATGGTCTTGGTAGTTAAGCAGCACTAGTAATGGTAATGGTAATCAATGGTAGTCACAAGATCTTTTTTGCGGGACCTTGCAGAAATTGTTTTGTGAAGCACCCAATAGTTAAACCTCAAAGCCGAAACCCTCAGCCCTGCACCCTCGACGTTCTTTCTTAAACTTAGGCTATTTTGGGCCTTGGACCTTCGTTATACTAGGTAGACAGGGGGCCATTGCGAGAACTCTGAGCGTTCTGGGAGTGTTTACTTTGTTCGTATAGCGCTTTGGTGTACTTGGACCGAGGATCATTGGACTTAGTGTTGTAAGTACCTTGTATTGGGATTTCAAATTATCTAAAAGGTTGAGTAGACCCAAAGCCTTAAACCCTCAAATCCTTAGACCTCCGCAGCCAAGTACTCAAATCAAGGCCCCTCCCCCTCAACTCTAAATCCGAAACCAGTTTTTTGCTTGATGCTATAGGGCGCCAGCTACCTAAATAGTAAGTTACAAGACATATATTCTGTACCCCAGTATCTTAGTATTTAGGTAACTGCCCAGGGGCCCCAAAGTAGTTCCTTTTTGGGGTTCATATATAGAATCCTATAAGGTAATCCCAAAAAGGAACTACTTTGGGGCCCCTGGGTAGCTTGATGCCCGAAAATCGGCCTTGCAATGCACTTTGCTTTCCCTAAGGCTCCATGTACCCATATAGTAGATACTTAGGCCTTAAAGTACCCATATAGGGACCCCTTTAAGGCCTAAGTATCTACTACATGGGTACATGGAGCCTTTTGCTTTATTATCTCGGCTCAGAGCTTCGCAACTCGGGCCTGGCCACCAAAGGAGGGCATGGCTTTTTGGTTTCTAAGGCTTAACTATACCTTAAACCTGAAGAACCTACCTTTTTAGGGCTCCCTATTATGATTTCTTGAATATAAGTCGTTAAAGAAGGTAGGACCTAAACCCTAAACCCTAAACCCTAAACCCATTCAGGGTTAAGGTAGGGCTGAGGGTTCGTGTATACGGGTTGGGCTCCGGGATGAAGGCTTTTTGGGTTGAGGTTTTAAGTGGCCTGCAGAGCTTATCGGGTTTAGGGGTTTAGGGTTTAGGGGTTAGGGTTTAGGGTTTAGGGGTTAGGGTTTAGGGTTTTACGGTTTAGGGTTTAGGGTTTAGGGTTTGAGTATACGGGCTTGGTTTATAGTCCACGCCCTGCGGATTGGCCGGCAATGCTGCGCATCAGGAGAATTTCGGGCGAAGAGGTGGCAAGCGTGCCCTTCGCGGAACTTAGCGATGTGAAGTCGTTGAAGCAGCGATTGCATCAGCATCACGGCCTGCCACCGCGCTTCAGGCAAAGGCTCCTTCAGGAGGGCACGAGTTTGGATGATGCTGACCGACTCTGGGTTCTTGTCAAGGCATCTGATTTCAAGTTGCCATAATAATAAGAAACCATATCAATTACTTTCGATCCCTATATTATGGTAACCTAAATCAAATTCCTTGACAAGAACCCAGGACTCGACTCTATCTTCGATCTGCAGGTTTTGGCTCTATCGTCTTCCGAGGCCACTAAAGAGACACCAGGAGAGTTCGCTGCAGTGGCTGAGCATGGTTTCAGAGGGACCCTTAACCTTAATGCTCCTGGACCCTCGTAGTGAGTTCCTAAACGCTAGCCCCCAAAGCCCAAACCCTCGCCCACAAAGCCCCTAAGCCTATTAGGAGCCTTAGGGAAGGGGGAAAGGGGGAGGGGGGTAGGGGACTATACTTCCTTGATTAAGTCGATATTATAGGTGTTAAGGCCCCCAATACCCCCCTCCCCCTACCCCGCTAAGGACTCCTACGATGGATCGGCGGGCAGCGGGGCATTGAAGCGCCGATGGGATCCGGAGGACGGTGCGCCGGCATCATGCCGGCAAAGACTTCGTCGTGATGGCCACACTTTGCATGATGGCGTCAAATGGGAACCCCCGACGGATCTGCAGATCGTGATCGTGGCCTTCTCCGCTTCTGAGGACGAGCAGGACGATCTTAGGGCAGCGACATGGGATGGCAACGTGGCCGAGGCAAGCCGGCTACAGACGACGAAACCTCCAAGCCTCCTCTGAGATAGACTCTGAATAAGTATTTGCTTACTAGTCCTTAGGGCTTCGGATTATGAATAGAATGACCCCAACACCCTACTCTAATTGATCCGTAACACTCCTAGACTATCATCAAGCACATCTTGCCTTTCCTAGTATTCACAGAACACCCTACCAAACTCTTGCCCTAAGGCTCTAAGGACTCATATTTTAAGGCTTTGGGGCCTAAAGACAATATTATATAAGGCTGTTGGGCCATGTTGAGCCTTAGGGTTGGAACTTTTGTCGAAGATGTTGAGTGCTCAGGTTGAGCGCCTTTTGCAGCTGCCCATTGACCCACAAGAAGTGCAATATGGCGGAGGCTATGCCTACTTAAAGGACCATGGGACTTAGTAACAGGGGTTGTAATTAGGGTTACTATGCCTATAACTACTTTTAACCCCAATTAAGGTACTTATAACCTTAGTTACTAAGTCCCATGATCCTCCAAGTATCCCTAAGGGTCCATGTATCCATATAAGTATACTTTGACCCTGAAGCACCTATATAGGGACTACATTGGGGCCTATGTATATACTATGTATAGGAGAACATGGATCCTCAGGGTATACTTCGTGGGTTCGTGCGTCCGAGAACGGCTACGTGGATGTCGTGCAGTTGCTCCTGGAAGCCGGGGTTTAGGGTTTAGGGTTTAGGGTTTTTAGATATGCTTGGCCGTTCAGCGCTGTCAAGTGCGGCCGAATGTGGCCATTCTTCTTTAGTGCAGTTGCTGCTTGAGGCAGGTGCTCAGAAGGAGTTGCGGGAATGGGAAGGCAAGACAACACTAACCTTTGCGGCAGAGCATGGTCACGATGCATGTGTGCAGATACTCCTCGATGCCGGGGCTCAGCAAGATGCAAGAACCGGTGACCGCAGCACCGCCCTGATGGCAGCAGCACGAGGCGGTCATGCTGCGATCGTGCAGTTGCTGCTGGGGGCTGGCGCTGGGATGGATTTGATCGACATCGAGAGCAAAACTGCGCTGATGCATGCAGCATTCCACGGGCATGCTGAAGTCGTGCAGTTGCTCTTGGAGGCCGGCGCTCAAAGGGATCTGCGCGACTTCGACGGCGAGACCGCGCTGCACCACGCGGGGATCACGACCATCCGGCTTCCAGTCGTGAAGTTGCTCCTGGAAGCCGGGGCTGATAAGCATGTGCGAAACAATGACGGCGAGACACCGCTGATCCAAAGCCTGTTGGAAGCATCTGAGGTGGAACAGCTCTGATGGATGATTTCTGCTTTGCCCAAAATCCGGCGTTTGCTGGAGGCCAGTGCTACACTGCTACAGCACGGCTTGATGCTGAAGAGTACGGAAGATCAAGCTGAAATAATAGCTGCGATGTATCCGTTCCTCACTCGGCTTTCGATAAACCACTGCTTTGGAGCAGGCTGCGAGCACTTCTGCTACCAAGAGAACCCACCTAAACAAACATCATGGCTTAGAGTCTTAGAGTTTAGGGTTTAGGGCTTAAGAGGCATGTAAATAATCGCTTTGGGCCCGAGAAGTTTGCCCGAAAACGATCCAATCCGCGAGCCTGTGCTCTGCAACCTGGACCTCGGCATTCCCGAGCATCCGACCGTAAGGCCCGAAAAGAACCTGCCGAAGCCAAATTAATTCTATCAAAGCCCAACCCAGAACCTTGTGAACCAAACCCTGAACCTTTCACTGGTTTGAGGAGGGAGACATCGGGCCAGCCTGAGCGACTCCGAGTCTCCGAAAGCGCGTCTTCACGAGCGTCTCAGGGAGCGCGCCAGACTTTTCCTGGCGGCTTGTGTCGTTAACATCCAGGTTTTCTGGATCTCATCAGAGGTCCATACAGGGCCCTCGTAGTTCGCCGCATATTGCAGCAAAGGTTCAGCACTACTTTGCTCTACGACTTTCTGAAGCATCTCGCCAGTCTCATCCAGTCTGCGGAATTTCGGCCGAAAGCAGACGCCATGACTCGCCTCGTGACGTCCCAGGGCCCGCAGGGCAAAACACTTCCGTCGACGCCGTGGCCAGATGGGGAAGCTGCAAAGCCGCTCCATCTGTCGCACGGCTGCCACCAGATTCTGTGTGAGGTTGCGCAAACATGTAGGTTCCATGAAAATTCTGGGCGCCGACTTTATCGTCCGAGCCTTCTCCAGACAAGTTGGTGGTATGACTCCAGTCTCCATGACGAAGCAGACAAGTAGCTCAAGGTTGGTGGCACCTACCTTTGCGCGGCCGTCGCCTTCCGACGTAGTCCACTCCAGACTTCTGGTCCACGACCAGAGGGCAAAGGTAAACCAGGGCGGCCAAGAGCAGGCGATGAGCACTTCTCGGCGCGCTACCGGTATTTGCAGAGGGCTCCAGGGGCCAAATTGTTGCTGTTTCCATGTTTGGAGCGCAGTAGAAGCCGCGATCTGTGCGGGTGTATTCGTGGTGACGCCCTCCGTGGCGAGGGCATCCCGGTCCTGGTCGCGTCGGTGAGCGCGGAGTAGCCGCACCTCCTCCTTAGAGAGATCGAGCAGAAATCGCCAGAAAAGCCACAATGCGTCGCGTTGAGCCGTCTGCCACTCGGCAGTATCATCCGAGCTTTGTTGGACGATGTCAAACTCGTTCACCAGGCTACTTTTTGCGGCGGTGTCCGCAACGTCGTTGCCGGCCGCTAGCCACTGGTCCATTCCCCAGAGGGACCGCCAGTCTTGGTGGGCCGCAATTTTTCGAACCTGTACCAGCTGCAGGCGGAGGCCGTCGAATTCAGAAGAGATGTCTGGCCATAGAGCGGGTAGACCATTGCTGACTCTCTCCCATTCATTGATGGCAACCTGGCTGTCCGCCCAAATTTCAGCCGGGCATTGGTTTGAGTCCGCTATGCGGACGGCTTGCAAAATGGCACAAAGCTCTGCGCGGTGGATGTTTTGCTCGCCCGGCACCAGACCAACTGTATGCACTCGAAAGCAGGGCGGCAGGCAGCCGCCCGCACGCCAAGCTGCAAGGTAACCCGGGACCTCGAAGTCTGCAGCAGAAGTGTCAATAATGACGGCGTACCCCGCACGGGAAGCCAGCGGTAATGTGGGATGTTTACATGTGCCATCGGTGAACATGCGAAGAAAACCCCTGGGGCCAGGTAGGTCAAGCTCTGCTGGGAGGGGCAACGGCGGGGGGAGACCTCTGGTACTGAAGATGAGGCGGTTCACTTCAGTATGTGGAGGGCTCACCGCAAATGGTCCGTGACACCAGTGGGGCCACTCCGACAGTGCATAGTCCAGGAAAGCCCGGTGGGGGGCCCGCAGTTCATCTAGGGCGGGGCAGTGCAGAATCTTATGGGCCTTAGTCTGCTTGCTGCCACACAGTGGGCATTCCGCTGGTATGTCATCGTCCCATTTGTTTTTGGCCGCCGCTGACCCGAAGCTGCCGGCCACATGGCGAGCGATGATCAGCTGTTCGTTGGCATTCAGCTTCCGGAACAGTTGTCCGGTGTCCGCGGGGAGTGGTGGATCAAGCTGTCGTAGCCCATTGCGGTGGTTGACATTCAGAACAACTTGAAAAGCCCACGCCCTCTGGACCAGGTCGCGGACAGATTTCGGGCGACACTTGTCAAGATAAAGGCGGGAATTATCCGGGCCACGAACACACGCATCCTCCGTCAAAGAAATGCCCAGGCGGGGCAAACTGAGAGCAAAAGCTGAAGCGGGGCCACAGCTGTTTTTGAAAGATCGCGGTTCGGTGGCCAGCGCGAGCACCGACACAGCCAGTTCTGGATTGACCGAAAAGCAGCGGCGCAGGGCCAGCAACTGTTGGAGCACCGCGTAGGCTTGCGGGTCCGTAACCTGGTGGGTAAGGGCACCTAAAACCAGAAAAGGGGAGCCTATCTTGTTACGTCCCAGTATGGCCGTCGCAGCTCTGCTACGGAGCTTCTGGAAGAAGGAGAGAGGCTGGCAGTAGCTCTCGCACCCGTAAAGCACCGAAGGCCAAATCCCCCTCTGCACCATGAATGCTTTCTCTACAACAGGCCGAGGCTGGTCACGCAGTCTGTCGAGTTTTTCGAGGGACTTCGGCAATCGAGCATCTCGGGCAGTTGCATGTGCCTGCTTGTCGTAGCTGTACACGGTGCCAAGGTCGGTGGCAACCGATACACAGGGGACGACTTGGTCCGTGGGGAACATGTTCTGGCCCGCCTTTTTAAGCCACACCCGGTCGGGTCGTTGGACGGCCCAGCAGTACGACTTCTTCCAATCGACAGGGAGTTTGAGGGCCCGTAGAAAAGCAAAGGAAGTCTCCAGGCCACGCTGCAGTGGGGCCTCTGTTTCGGCGGCCCATGCCCAGTTGTCAACGTAGGTGTCGAAATCAACTGCTTGGTCACACAAATGACAAGCGAATCTGGCGACCGCTGCCATCACTGCAACACTAAAAGGACAGCCCTCTGGGGCGCCGTTCCAACACTGGAGGCCGGGACCAAAATCAGCCCCAAAACAAGCATGGCGGCGGAGCTTACTCAAGCAGTCGGCCCAGAATCGGGCGATGGGTTCCGGTACGCCCAGGGACAGGAGCATGCTCACCGCCGGCTGCCATGGTATCTGGTTGAAACACTTGACCAGGTCAATCGACACTCCAAGACGGCGGTGTCTGAAAATGATGGCACGTTCTATCTTATGCTGTTGCTCATAACTGAGATCTCTGCAAGAGCGGTGAGGCATGGAGCCCGCGACGGAGGCGGGGAACTGCTTCTGCCACTGTTGAAGTATCTGGCGAGTGACAACTGATGCCCATACTCGGTAGAGCGTGGAAAAGATAGTGATCGGGCGGCTCTGTGCAATGGAGCTGGGCTCCGTGACTTTGGCCATTACTGAGACTTTGGCTCGTAGTAGGTGTTCCGGCAGGCCCCAACGGACTGCTTGGCGGAAAAGGTCACATAGCACCTGTATGGCGGCCAGGGACAACAACTTCAGATCACCCGGGGCCCACCCGCACACGCCAGTGGCCTTTCGGCGTGGCATCCTTTTAATGGCCCGGTGCCACAAGTCGGCATCGAAAGAATCGACCGAGAGGCTGGCTTCGGGGGCCCCGTAGGACTGAAGGAGGGCGCAGAACTCCGGCCACTCATCTTTACTTCGACTGGCTGGGCCTTTGTCCCTCTGCCAAAGCCTGTTCCAGAAATTAGCAAAGACCCCCTGCAGCTCGGGACCCGTACATGCAACAACAGCTTGGTGGAACTCGCCGTGTTTGGGCAAATTGGTGCCACTTACCGAGACCCCGGCGGAGTCAACTTTCAACACCTGGCAGGGCACACCTGAGATCATGGCCGGACCCGGGCACTGAACGTACGTATGGGGCGGGACCTCGTAAGTTGTACATTCGCCCGGTCTGTGGACCTGCTCGGTAGGAAACGTGACCTCATGGGGAACCTCAGTGAAAGGGGGATGTGATGGCCCTCGCATGGTGGCGTAGCCGTCCCTTAAGGAGGCACATACGCCGTCTAGTTGCACACGCAGCCTGTATGTGCGCCGGCGGGTGGTGGCCTGCTGGCGGGCAATGTTGTCTGCATCAAACCGCAGGTACTGGCAGAGATCCTCAAGCCAATCAGTGTCGGGCAAGCTTGTAGGGAAGGCGGTAAAGTGTGCAACTTTCAAGACCCAATCGGGGAAGGAGGGCGGATAGCCCTTTGCACGGCAGATGGCCCCCCATTCCTGCTCGAGTTGTCGATGCAGAGGACTGTTGGGGCAGGTAGTCAGACGGGAGAGCTTTTTCAACCCGGACAACAGTGTTTGGGCACGTCGAACTTGGCGGACTTTCAAATGGCCAAGGACGGAGGTGACTTCTTCGTCCGGTGTGTAGGTGCCGTCGCGGGCAGGACGGACAATGCACGGCAGCGGCCGTTGCTGCAGGGAGCGGTGGGCACACCTCCCGCGGTAAGCCTTTGGCAGGGTAGTGTATGGCTGCCGGATTGGGTCGGCCGTATGTTGCTTATGAATGGCCCGTGATACAGCCGCCTCTGCAGTTTCTGAAAACCGGAGCAGGAGGGACCCGACATCCTCGGAGGAAGTGCAGTTGGCCGCGGCACGCTGTAGGGACGGGCAGTGTGGAGCAAATTCGCGCTCGAAAAAGTCAGCCGAAGGGGACAGGTCAGACCAAGGCCGTGGCAGGTTCCAGGCGGTGCGGCACGGTTGGCACTTGTAGGCCCGGAAGCTAAAGAGCAGGGGTGCATGTGAGTCGAAGAGATGAGCCTCGGTGAGGACGGTGGCCCCTTCCCAATGCGGCAGCAGCGCCGGGTGAATCAGGGCAGTGTCGTGCCTGGTGCTGTTGCGACAAGTGGGGGGGAGGTGAGTTCGTTCACGATTGTAGTGCAGCACGTTCACCTCTTGGTAGCCGCTCGCCGCAAAATGCGCTCCAGCGGGGAGTTCGAGCGGCGGACAGTTGAAGTCGCCGGCAACAATACAGGGCACCGCGGTGCCGGAGGCCCGGTGCCATGCCATCCTGAGCAGTTCATTGGTACGGTCCTTAGCGTCGGCCTGGGACAGGGGAAAGCCGTAGATCGCAATGATGCGGACCTCAAGGGCTCCGAGTCGGACGAAGCAGTCCATGAGGCGGCAAGTGTCGAGAGCTTCTCTGTCCATAGGGGGTCGCGCTGCTCTGCAAGGGAGGCGGGACATGGCGGCAACGCCGGCGGCGTGGGATGTGCCAACGCTGCCTTCCCTGTGGTGGCTGGGCACGGGGCGGCCCCAAAGACACTTAAAGTGGTGCGGTCGCATGGCTCTGGCGGTTAATAGCTGTGCCTGCTCAACGGCGGACGTTTCAGAGAGGACCAAGACATCCGCTCCGAGCTGCTGGAAGCACTGGGCTTTGTGCAAGACACTTGTTGGATTCACGACAGCAAAAGTGCAACGGTCAGGACTTGGCCGTGGTGTCTGAGAAGCTTGTAGGTCAGTCGTGCGCTTTGCCGGGTCGCCGAAGAAGGTGTGCAAGTTGGTCTGCGGGCCCGGGTGCAGGGCCTCCCCGTAGCGGAAGCCTGCTGAGGGTGCGCGCCGTGGCGAGCGGCAGGGCTGAAGGAGTAGCCGGAGCAGTGTGCAGCTACACGGCACTCCTGGGGACGCCATCGTTCGTAATGGGGCAGCCACGGCACCCATCGCAAAGTGCCAGGACCAATGCCTGGGGCAGGTAGTGCTGTATTGGGGTTGACCCCGGGCAGCGTGTTGTCCCGGAGGGGACGGCCTCTGGGGACACCTTGGTTGGGCCGCTGGATTAGCACAGTCATGGTGGCATCGTAGCTGTAAGGCTGCTTTGTGGGACCCCGGGTGGGTCACTGAAGTTGCTGGCAGTCGCGACACCACAAGTTCTGGCTGAATCGACACGCGCAAATTGGAACGGAGATTCTGTACACTAAAGGAATGGCTGGGCATGGCCCTGAAACTGAGGCGAGCTTCATCGCCTTGGAACAAAGTTTGGCAGCAGGTGGTGGCACCGCGGCTAGCTGTGGTGGTGGGACGGTCCCCGTGTCCCGAAGTATCGGTCCGCACGATAACCCCGTGTGCGAATCTAACACAGTCGACAGAGGGAGCTTTGGCCGCTTCCCGGCCGGTAGGCTCGCAAGGTCGAACATATCCCCTTGAATGAAGTGCATTCGGTAAAAACCCCGGCCAAAATGGCCTCACTCGTGAAAACGGCGGGAGCAGGAGTCACAGGTCGTGATCGCAGGTGCGGGCTTTCTTGTTCTCATGACAAGCCAAAATAAGCGCTTTCAGCTCTTGCATCCCGGAGTTCATTTGTTGCTCCTGCTGGCTTTGTGCATTGCGCAGCCCATCCAAGTTGCTCTGCAGTTGCAGTTGGAGGCTCGCTCCCAGTGATTGCACTTCGCCGCGGACACTCTGGATCTCGGAGGCGGTTTGGACCCGATCTTGCTGGCGTTCAACGGCAGCCTTGAGCTGATCATCCCTAAGGGCCTGAAGGTTTTGCTCCAGCTCGGCAAGTCGGGACTCTGTGGTATGCATGCGGCCGGCAAGGTGGTGGTCAAGCGGCGGGGCCGCACTGCTGGTTGAGCGGGGCGCCGGGCCAGGGATTGACGGTGGACGCATAACGGCCGTGGTGGCCTTGTATTGGCTCCAAGGATCGTTCTCAAGCCAAGGGTCAGGGCTGCTCTGGGCAGCAGGTTGCGGCTGAGGCAGAGGGCCGCCCGCCTGGATCACCGGGCGCTTCTGTTCCCTGCCTTTGACCTCACTGATCAGCACTGGTGTGGAGTTGAAGCGCGTGGTTTGTGCTGGCGGTTGGCTCTCAGCACCAAGCAGCCAAAACGTGGGGCCTAGCGACTTAAGTGCTTTTGCTGGCCACTGCAGTTTGGCCGCCCATGCGACTATATCGTCTGCTGTGGTGCCTGCTGGGAACGGGCCTGCTTTGAACATTGTTTTAACTGTGACGGACACTGGGGGCTCCATGCCGGGGCGCAACTGGCGGAAGACTTTGTCAAACGAGGCCACCGGGACCCTGACACCAAATCTGGCCCGAGACCTGACCAACCCGTGCTGTTCAGCGATCAGTCCTGCCTGTTTGGCGGAGTCAGTCTTATCACCAGTGAGCCAAACGACTGACCAGCCTGGCAGTAGTTGGCGGTCCCAGGTTTTGGGGATCAGGAAAACGCTGTTGAAGCCAGACTGCTGCAGGAGCGGCCGTAGCAGCGCGGTGGTCACTTTGGCATTGAAGCTGCAGGTATCACTAAGGTGTGGTTGGCTTGGGCGGCCGTCGCAACGGTACTGCCGGCTCCATGGGTCATTGAAGGCCTGGTGGACCCCGGCCTTGCGGAAGGCCTCTGCTGCAGTGCGAACCGGGGCCCGGACAACCTCTTGCCACTCTTCTTGGGCAAAGTCAGAGCTGTGCATGGAGAAGGTGCAGCAAGTGGTGCCTGTGACGGTGATGTCCGTGCCATGCTGTACGTGTGGCTCTAAGTTGGTGGAGCCGACATTATGGTAGCACGCTGCAAGCAGGTGGGTCTGGCCGCTAGCACGGTGGCGGGCCGGCACACTTATCGTCCCGCAGCAGGACTCGGGGTCCGGGCAATCGTGGCCTGGGATGACAACACAGAGAGCATCTGACTCTATGTTGCGCAGTAGGTCGAGGTCGACTGACGTGGCCTCCCGAGCATCCAACAACAGTACGCCCTCGCTGTTATGGGAGGCAGTCTGTAGGATCGCCGCAGGGGCACCATCGATTCCTACCCACGAGCCTTCCTCAAGTGTGAAGTCACAGGCCCGAACCTCGGGGGATCCAGTGAGCCGCCGGCGCCGAACGGCTCGCTGCAGCCGCTTCGCGGCTTTTTCTGTGCGGTTGTCACCCTGTGGCAGTGGCACCCCTACCGTGGAGGCTACATTCTTAAGCTCCAGCCATTGCTGTGCGGTGTCAGTACCCGACAGGATTTTCAGGCAGGCGGCCGAACCCAACTTAGGAACCAGATTATCAGCCGTAACCGAGGTTTCAGGGAGGCTCACGCCTCGGTCCAGCAGCAGGGTGGCAACCTTCGTTTTTGCCAGCTGCACGTTTTCGTCCTTGACCCCGCCCCCTATGATTTGCGGCTGAATGGTCACAAGGAGGTGCCCCGTTTTCCGGATCACACTGGCAGTGGTCTGGGCGGCGACTTCTGCAATGGTAGCTGCGGGGTCATGGGGATGTGGGCCGGAAAACACCCTGTGGCGCCCGGGAAGTGCACAAGCAACGGAAGCACATTGCCACCAGTCCGAGATGTCCTGCAGCGTGGTAGCCCCTGGGAGGCGCCCGATCCACAAGCGGCAGGCAAGAAGCTGGATTTCGACCTCAACGGCGGGCTCGCCGATGCTGCATGTGTTGTCCTCGACTTGGGAAATGAAGAGCCACACCCGGCACTGGTTGTGCAACAAGTCGGCAGGCATGATTGGTCGGCCCTGCAGCGGCTGGAGGCGGAATGCAACAGGTATGTGGTCCCTGGGCGGCAAGCCCTCTATTTCAGATCCCCAACCCAGGGCAGACAGCAGCTGAAAGGGGAACCCCATCCACAGGTCACCCGCTGCGCAAGAGGGACCCCGGAAACACACAGTGTCGTCCTGCCTGAACACTACAACCTTGGACACATGTGCAGCGAGCTGGCGTAGCGAAAAGGCTGGGACGTCTTCGTCCTCACTGAGGGCAACAATGCAGCTGCCGAAGGTCTTGTGATCCGTGAGTCGTTGCCCCGACAGGGAATACACACCGAGGCAGCAGTTGGGGTCGTGGTCGGGATCCAAAGCACGGAAAACATGCAAGAGCTGGGACCAGGATCGCGGCCCAGAGTGGTCTACTAAGTAGACGGTTGTATGCGTCAGGACAGTGCAGAGACCACTCTGGACGCCTGAGCCTCCAATGAACCCACTCATATTTAAGGAAGGTGCGCCGGGAACTTGTAAGCAGGTGGCTGCGGCAGAGGGCAACTTGGGCAGAGCATCGAAACCTGTCTCCGTGTTCCTGTAATTGCCCGTAGCTCCTATCAACCGTGCCACTGGCAAGCCGGCAGGGGCGGCTAGGGAAGTGGCAACATCCTGGCCTGGGGTGTGGAACAGTACTTCAACGAACACTTCTGGGCCATCGACCTGGAGGGCATCGGGCTCGCTGACCTGCAAAGTCTGTATCACCTCAGGGATTTGGTCTTGCCTGCAGAGGATCCAGCCAGTCGTGACGGGTATCAGAGCAGTGGTGGAGCATCGCAGCCGATCGGCCAGGCACCACTGAGTCGCTAACATCATGTCAGGTGCGCCCGGGCAACGCATCAAGCGGCAGGCCTGGGCAAGCGCAGCTGCAGCATGCGGCACAGCAATGGCATTTCCGAGCAAGCGCATCTGGTCGTGACGGCTGGCCAGAAGGAGCACCGGCTGTACCGCCCCGTGGACGGCTGCGATCTCAGCGCCTGAGAAGAACCTCAAACCTGTGGCATCCTGAAGAATTAAGGCAACCGTGTAGGCCTTGCTGTTCGAGCATTCCGGCCGGTAGCTCGTGCTGAAACTGGTACTGTGCAACGAAAACGCCCGCACAATCCTGTGGGCGGCGCACCCTGTACTGCTGTGGGGTCTGGGGCCTTAAACCAGGACGGGAAGGCGTGGGGACTAGCCAAGGGTCCATGTACTTAGCCAGGATGTCAGGCGGGAGCTGGCAATCCGCAAGCATCTGCGGAGGTAACGGGAATATCACATCAGCAAGTGCGAGGGATTGTCGTTTCACCATCGCCCAGAAACCTTGGTCCACGTCTGAAGGCGATACGGCACCCGGGCGGCTCATGACAATCAGGTGCCGCATGCGCTGTCCTGGTAGCACGTCCCGCAAATTAAGAGTCTGTTGCCATAGGACTTCATATCCACACTCGTGCCAAGCCTGCATTATCAGAGGGTAATGCTGGTGCTTGGGGAAGAACTCGACTTGCTCAAGCAGTATCAGCGGGATCTCCCCAACTGCCGCAATGTCGGCAACCCGAAGCAAGAGCTCTCCGTCCTGGCTGCAGAGGCCGGAGCCTGTCCCGGCTCGGGACCACGGTTGACATGGCGCCGACACGCAAATGGCCTTAACCGGAAACCGGCCTAAAACCCTAAGCCACCATGCCCACTGCACGTCGGCACACATATGAAACGTGTGCTCCCGATGGCTCGGCACTCCATCGAGGTCTTCAATGCTGCTGATTTCAAGAAAAGTGCTGTCACGGCACCGGAGCATTGGTGTGCAGTGGGGGTCAACATCCAATGTCCAGCGCATGTGTACAGGAACCTGGTATCGCTGGAACGTGTAGCATGCCTGAGACCATCCCGAGAAGCCTCCGCAAAAGACTTCCGCAACCTGTAGGCAAGTATGATCGTGCACCACGGCTGTGGTAATGACTGCCGTACCTATGCCAGTGCAGTCTAGCAGAGGGACCTGATCCTGGTATTCCACTTTAGCTTGCAAAATCTTCAATGGGGCCGGCGCCATATGAAAGACCTGCCAATCTGCAGAGCTGAGCACCAACAACACGATACGTGTGGCACCTTCACCGTCCGAAATCCGAGCTCGGCTGAAGACCCTGTTCCCCACGTGGTTTGGTTCCTCAAAAGGCATTGCCACCAGATTTACAGCCTCCCCTTCAGGAAGAAAGTCGATGTTTCGGCAAAGAGTGCTGAGCCTTTTCCATTCCAGTGAGTTCAACAATGAACAATCATAGCTTTCAGAGTGTCTTGTCATGGCCCGATCGGCACTTAGCGCAGCTAAACAACGGCTTCGCCTCTAGTAGGCTCGGGCCCAGAAGCTCAAACCCTGAACCCTACCAAAAAGACCCCGTGCAGAAATTATAGACCTCCGTAAGGGAACCCATATCGATTTCTTTAAACGAACGAGCCGGACCTCAACCCCAAACCCCTATATAGATCCCTTTAACCGAGCCCGTATAGATCCCTGTAAGCGAACCCTCATTGATCTCCCACGCCCGCCGAAGCTGAGGAGGCAACGCTGCAAGAACAATACCTAGCGCCATCCCCTCAAAGGTTCCCTTAAAGAGGGTACTTAGATCCCCAATACCCAACCCTTAATCTTTTTGGGTTCTTGTAGTTTAGTAGGAATCGGAAAGTTTAACCTTTTATTTCCGTGGCTCAGCAGGGTAGTAAGGATCTGTGAGGTATCCTTTTAAGGGATGAATGTTGTGTGCCTACAGTCCGTGTACAAGCACAGTACACTAGAATCGACCCCGGCCGCTGCATGCGCAAGGACAGTGTGTAACGGTATTACGGCTAAGGTTTAGGATTTCACTACGAGGGTCCAGGAGCAGTAAGGTAGCGTAATACACTATGATATGACGCTGCTGTTTCTTTCTCATCGTTAAGCCCTTGTTACAAGCCTTATATGCACTGAAAACCTACAGCAGCCGACGGCTTTACTGAACAACACAACTTGAAGGTTCAAGGGTCGTTACAAGTGGGGTTGTAAATAAGGTCACTATAATTATGCCCCATCTTAGGGGACTCATACTTCCCCTTATAATTACCCATGAACCTCCAAGTAGGACCTAAACTCTATACCCTTATAGAGTCCCTATAGCTCCCTCTAAAGGGACCCTTAAAGGAACCCTTATAACTACCCATGAATCATGAACCTCCAAGAACGCGTTTTGAGAACATTTGTTCTGCTGGTTCCGGCGTCTGCTTCGCAAGTTTCGGGTTGAGGTATTTTGTGTTTTGGGGGGACCTCTTGGGGGTTTAGGGTTTAGCATTACGATTTTGTTTTTGGCGTGGTCCGTAGAAAGGGACTGATGTAAGGCGACAGTTTATACTTTTCTCTCCCATGGCTACTTCTATAGCTTAGGCAACAGATCCTTCGACTGAAGCAGAGCTTGGCGACGCCCCTCGGAAGCCTGAATGGGGGTTTGCGGGGTTTTATGGTTTATAGAGTCTAGGATACAATTAATTAGGATTTTGAGTTGAGGTTTTGGGACTGGGTTTTTGGTTTTGCGGGCTTAGGGTTGAGGGTTGGGGCTGAGTTGCTTCAGAATTTCAAGGTGTTTGTAAAACTTGGGGTTCTCATACTACAGGGGCAGGGTGTAGGGATTTTGGGTTTGGAGTTTATTGATCCATTGGGCTTAAAGGCTTCCAGGGGTCATGTGCCCAAACATGGCCCAAGACGCAAACCCTGGACGCATCAGTAATCAGTCTCGAGCTGCTGAATCTTGAACCCTCGAAACCCAGACCATGCACCCTGCCCGTTTTTGTGGAGGCCTGCTAGTTTTCTGTAGAAGACGTAATTAGTACCCATCAAGCTGGGAAGGCACAAACAGGTTCAGGGTATTGTGAGCTTTGCCACCTACTTGCACAGTCCTCTGCCTGAACCACTCACCCCCCTTACCAAAATCTAACTTTAGCCCTACCTAGACCCCCCAACTACCCTCTTATATACCCCAAACAACTTCTATTCAGGACCATAAGTTAGGGCTCCATTCAAGGGCCATCGGGGCGTCCCGGTAGACTTTCCACTCGAAAATCCTGAGGGCCTGAAGCCCTATGTAACTTCATCCTACGGTTGATGATATAAATCCTGCATTACCTTAAGGACCCTAAACTATGGGATTTATGGTATATTCCTTATTATGGGTCATGCAGGATTTATATCATCAACCGTAGTAGTAGAGTAGGCAACCTTTAACCGCGCACCTGTAAGGGGTTCCTTTAAGGGATCTAATAGGGGGTTCTACAAGGGACTCCTAGTAGTAGAGTAGGCAACCTTTAACCTTTTTAGGGTAGTATAGTCCCTATATAACCGTAAAGGTTAACCTTCAGCTCCCGCCCGACAAGTAGGTATCCCTCTCCCTGCCACAGGCGCTACATCTAATTCAGGAGTCTGAACATTAAAGTGACAGCATTTCCTGGTACATTTATATGATAATGTCGCGAAACCCCAGTCTATTCATTAAGAGCCTTGTTCCCAAAACCTTGTACAACACTCACAAACACCCTAAACCCTAAACCCTCAAGCCGTCCAAGAACCCATAAAGTACCGACTCCCCAGGCAGCAGAACTTGCTCCGAGAGGGCACTGAGTACCTCTGCCGCAGCTCGAGGGTTCTCCTTAAGGGTTTAGGGTTTAGGGTTTAGGGTTTAGGGAGAATAGGGGAATTTGGGGGATGTCTTGGGGGTTTATCATAGGAGGCCAAGAGGGGATTTAGCCTATGGGGGTTTAGTAGGGATTAGGGTTCCCATAATAGTGTTCACATTAAGGAATCCCTACCCCAAAAATCTTAAATCCCCCTGTTGGCCTCCCATCAGTTTAGTGTCCAGGGTTATCCTTTACAAGCGATATTTGTTGGTCTTAAGTGGGTGCTTTATAACTAGGATACTACAGATATAGCCCATATTATTACGGGACTTACAGCTCCTCTTATAACTGCTCATGCGTACAGTTGCCTGTATGCCCACTTGAGATACGTATATATATATATATATATATACATATATATATATATATATACATATATATATATATATATATACATATATATATATATATATAACCTTACTTACTAGGTCACATGATCTTCCAAGTAGACCTTAAGCCCGTAGAAAGTAGGGAGAGTCGGAATAAGAATTACGTTTATGCTTTGGGTACGTATGCCCCGTATCAGTAGTGCCCTTTTGGCCTGTTTGGTTTAGGGTTCCCGTCTTGAAGCCGAATAGTAGGGGAAAGGGTATCCTTGTTATACAGGGGTTACTCTCGATCGAACCTAGATATGGGAGTTTCCGAAAATTAGGGGTACCTTGTCTGGGGGTCCTTGTAACAAGGATCCCACTTTAGGGTGCTATATTGGGATCCCTTATTTTCCGACGCCCATATACAGTAGAAGAAGCCCAACAGTTGGAAACCCCATAGCCTCAATCCTTAACAGTAATGTATAGGGAATCCCAGCACTATTTGGCCTTAATCCGGTTTCCAACTTTATGGGGTTTACTTTAGGTACTTCGGATCGTTTGTGTCTGTCCGGGGAAATCCGGGGCCTCAAGAGTAAGGAGCCTCCTGATGTTGGCACACGAGATCCACACAACCCTGTTAGTGTGTTGAACTTCTGAAACATTATGAATTAAGAGCTTAAGGCTTAATGTTGAAGATGTGCATTTAATTTGAAGTTTAAGTACAACGGGGTCTAAAACTAATGTGGTATAGTAGCTCTCTTCAAGAAAAACGTACATTCGCGGTTCCCTGCAAGGAGGTATCCGACTGGACTTGTCGATTGAACGCCTGGTTGCCGGCATGACCGGCAAAGACCCACTGGACACAGTTGAAGCATTCTTCAAGCGCGACGTTGCGCTGCCGATCGTGAAGCACTATGGGTCGTTGTTTTTGCATTGACGTGAACAGCCGCTTTGCTATTACACGGGCTGGTCCGAGCACTGCCGCCAGGCTTAGATTGCCTGGCCTTGAAAAGGGATACATTCGCTCCTTCTTTGTTGCCGCCGATCAGGACGGGCAGATCGATACCCTAGTGGAGTTTTAAGCACTCTGACTGGAGTTGCCATACGTACAGCCCTTCCCTCCACGAAACCTCACGGCCAACACCTACTTGCAACACTTCTTACACAGACCGATGATTCACCCCTAAAGGTAAACCCAAAACCCAAAACCACATAAAACAATATCATTGTAACTCCCCTGAATAAGCCCTCGGTTCCTGCGTAGACCCTTTTGGGTCCCCTGGTTATCAAGGGGTTAAACCAGGATCCTGGACCCTGTGTGGCTCTATAGGGGCCGTACTATAGATCCCCTTATAGACGACCCCTTCATAGTAACCCTTTAAAGGGAACCCTATTCTAGTTATTAGGGCCCCTGGTGGCTATTCCTAGGCTGTCTGGGTTGTGTAACTAAGGAATATAGCCTAAACCATAATATGAGGCCCTATACAATTTTAAGCCATATTCCTTAATTAAGGGGTATTGGGCTCTCTGGGTTATGTGGCTATTCCAAGGCTGTCTCATTCCTTCACGGATGACCCCGAGCAGCTGCAAGTGGTGGTGGGCTCCAGGGCTGCATCTGTGACGGTCTCGAACCTCGAACCCTCTTGCGGCTTACTTTAAGAGTTGCTCTACTAGGACCCAGAGTAGGCCCTTATTCCCTTTTTTAGGGTTTAGGTTCCCTTATAACCACCTTTAAACCAAAAAGGGCACCCTTTTTATTCCTAGGTCACTCTTGGGTCTGGTCTAAGGGTTCCTCTAAGGCTTCTATGTCGAGTCTATAAGGGGTTCAGGGTTTAGTGGAGCCAGTAGTCTTTACTCTGTTCCATGGACCTTATTACGCGTCCTTAGGGGTCCAGGGAACCTTCTCGTCACCGTACGCTATTGTCTTTGTTCTATACCCATTGGACCCTTGGGGGGGTAGTGGGGAGGGGGGGTAGTGGACTACACTTCCTTAAACAGCCTGATTAGGTCCTTATCTAGGATGCCCAGTAGTACCCTTATTCCC